CAAGTCTGCAAGGTAGCTGATGCTGCATTGAGTGATACCAACACCGGTTGTTTTTTTATTTGCCTTGGGTCCCGTGCCTGGAATAAAAATGTCCAAAGCAGCGGCAGTAGCCGTGCAGGTAGCAGAGAGTATTTCAAAGGGAGCGCCCGTGCAACTAGATGGGAATGATTGCTCAAAGACATTCTCATCTCAGAGATTTCCAGTCGGATTTCACTCCTGTTTAGGTGTTTGCACCTTTCATTACGCACAAGCAAAACGCTCATAACCGGAACAACAATTCAATCCCCACCGCAAACTAAGTCTGACTTTATCTGGTGCCTGGTGCCTAACATTTGCGTTTTGAAATGGGGGTTGTGATTCCTTAGAGATAAAGGCATAGTGGTGATCGGAGGCAGGTGGTTGCAAGTTGCCGCAGCACGCGAAGGAGAGGCTTACTTGTTGGCTCATAATTGGAATACGAGCAGATGGAGAGAATCGACATGAAGGGGAACGCGTCTCCCTTAGTAAAACAGATGAACGTGGCTTCAAAAGAGACTGGACAGTGTGTGGTGTGGGGGGGGGGGGGGGATTCATTGCATTTTAACGCTCTATATACTTTCGGTACGTCTCTCTCACTTTAACCAAGTCATGCATCAGGGGTCAGCCCAGAGACTGCAGAGTCGGTGCAATGTGCTGGCTGCGTTGCACGTCAGGGATACACCTAACGGCAAACTTTATAACTTTCTGAATCCTCTGCACCTGGCACTTGATCGCGCCACCGCATACGCATAGACGGTAAGACGTAAATGAAAAACGTAGGTTTCGATAGTAATTTTGAGAGCATCGGGTGTAAAGCAATGCCCGAGGCGCTACAACGGGTTATAAGTTCGTTGCATTTTTGCACGACTTTGGCGATATGCTTATCTCACGAAATCATCGAGTCGGAGACCACACCGAGACATTTGATGTTCCACAAAAGTGATATAGCCTCTCCATCGATCGTTAAGTGAAAGTCACAGGTTTTCTTTAAATATCTTAAATCATGAATCAGACCATGCATCCATCAACCCCTTGCATTGTGCACCCTTTTGCACCCTTTTAAATTATTTTTGGAAATAAACTACGGGAAGCGACTCTCACGCCACAGTGGGGCAGCGGAGATATAAATGGTCCGGCCCTGAGCCAGATCCTGGACCCAGCTCCCACCTCAGCACCCATGACAACTCGTGCTCGAGGACTGTTGCATTAGCCTTGAACAACGAACCTTACGGAACACTACTGCAGACATTTATTTTGTCGACAATAGAGGTTCACGCATCGGGTAATAGACTAAATGCGTTTACCTTTGCTTAGAGATTTCGTAAGCACGTTGGTGAAACTGCTTTCGTCAACACTGGCGGAGAACGCAATTTCCAGCTCGTTCAGACATCACGACCAGCGCCGTTAAGAAACATCTGCCGCGCGCATCGGCGCGATTATGCTGTAGTTCCTCTGGTGGCACCGCCGACAGTCACATCACAGGGGGCGCCGGGTGGTCGGCGGCCACTCAATATTCACGAGCGTCCGCCGCTGTCGTGCCCGCGTCAGGCCGGCCAGCTGGCAAGCACACAGTGACGCGGAACCCACTGTCTCTGGGCGCTGGGTGAGAGGCACTCGAGGCTCCGCTCCGCCGCGGGGCCTCTCGAGACGGTCAGGTGTGTGTCGGGCATCTCGAGATTGCCAAGGGTCCGGGCCTCTCGAGACGGTGAGGTGTGTGTCGGGCATCTCGAGATTGCCAGGGGGCCGGGCCTCTCGAGACGGTGAGGTGTGTGTCGGACATCTCGAGATTGCCAGGGGGCCGGGCCTCTCGAGACGGTGAGGTGTGTGTTGGACATCTCGAGATTGCCAGGGGGTCGGGCCTCTCGAGACTGTCAGGTGTGTGTCGGGCATCTCGAGATTGCCAGGGGGCCGAGCCTCTCGAGACGGTGAGGTGTGTGTCGGACATCTCGAGATTGCCAGGGGGCCGGGCTCTCGAGACTGTCAGGTGTGTGTTGGACATCTCGAGATTGCCAGGGGACCGGGCCTCTCGAGACGGTGAGGTGTGTGTCGGGCATCTCGAGATTGCCAGGGGGTCGGGCCTCTCGAGACGGTGAAGTGTGTCGGGCCTCTCGAGGCTGCGAAAGGGTCGGACCTCTCGAGACTGCGAGGGATTTTGGGGTATGTCGAGACTGTGGGGGATGGCGGGCCTCTCGAGTCTGCGAGGGGTGTCGGGATTCAGCCGGAGACTCTGACCCCATCAGAGGTGACAGAGCCTACGCCGAGCACATGAGAGCACAGCACACGCTGCCGTCCCAGCCTCGTCGCTGCACGCGGGCCGTAGTTGTCTCCAGCTGGCTGCATCAGCAGCGACCGGCTCTCCGCCGGCCGCGAAGAAGGCGCTTCGCTCACACTGACTTGAGCAGCACCTTCATGGCGCATCGAAGCTGGTTCAATACAGAGAACGGGGGTGTATCCGGTCGAAATTTGATTGCGCAAGTGCGTGCATAGATTAGGTGAGCTCTATTCGGACTGTTGTGACTGTTGTGTTGGGTTGTTGTGTCGTTGTGACTGTTGTGTTGAGTTGTTGTGTCGTTGTGACTGTTGTGGTCGGTTGTTGTGTAGTTGTGACTCTTGTGTTGGGTTGTGTCGTTGTGACTGTTGTGCTGAGTTGTTGTGTCGTTGTGACTATTGTGTTGGGTTGTTGTGTCGTTGTGACTGTTGTGTTGGGTTGTTGTGTCGTTGTGACTGTTGTGCTGGGTTGTTGTGTCGTTATGACTGTTGTGTTGGGTTGTTGTGTCGTTGTGACTGTTGTGTTGGGTTGTGTCGTTGTGACTGTTGTGTTGGGTTGTTGTGTCGTTGTGACTGTTATGTTCTATTCGCACTGCTAGTTCGGTGTTTCAGATTCTTCCACAACAGGCGGCTTCACATTAACATTGGCTGTTTTCGACGCGGCTTTGCTCCACATGTTTTCCATGAAAATGT